TAAAATATTCCTTTTCCATCAAACCTGTATTTCCGTGACATGAAATGACGAGTGGAGAAGATATAATTTACTTATATCGTCGACAGGAAAGTACATGACTTTTATTTGTTTCAAGAATAGGGTAGAGTCCGTTCTCAGAACACAAAGACCTCGTAGATGTAAATTTTTCAAAATATCTTCCAATGTACAAATTCAGCCAAGATCACCTTGAATTGTTTTCAGGAAACGTGAGATCGCATTCAATCACGAAACAGTTCAAAGGTATACATAGGAAAATTGTGAGTCATATGGAATTGAGGGATAGTTTTAGTGGAAATTGTATACCTTTCCAACAAATGTGTATCTTGAATTGTTCATCTGCCATACAACGAATTAATAATATTACAAATAATATTAAATATAATTCAGGCATAAATGATTTTAGTTAGCTCAAATTGCCCGATTTTGGCAATTTGTCTGAAGTAGGTACTCAAGTTATCGTTTATGTAGTGGAATTTACAGTAAAAAGCCTCTCAAAAGTTTCACATTGTCATCAGTGTTGTTTTCTAATTATGTTTCAATATGGATTAAGGACAAGGGGAAATTTAATTTATCACTCTGAAAGAATTGTTGAAATTTGCGAATTATGTGAAAAAATAATCAAATATCACTTGAACTCATGTGGAGGAAACATTCCGAAAGATCTATACAAACAAACAAAATTGTACCTTTCTATACCTTTTATTTTAGATATGTATCGATAAAAATTAAATATAGGTGTTCTTGTAATATGATTTTTTTAAAGGTACATTGAATCCATAATTATTCATACGACTCTATATTTGTATTTAAACTTAATGTATATACAGATCTGCCTTCGGTGCCGATACCCTTACTGCACTTCAGGTTTCATTTCCACGCAGCATAAGTCTTATCAATGCAAACTCCTTTGGTTTATACTTTCATTAAGACAATATTTCCACCGATAAAATATAAATGAATTCCCATAAAATGATAGGAAGTTTTTCTGGTTTTCTTAGCACACGATTAAGTTGTGTACAAATGGAATATACATTGTGATCAAAAAGTGAGAGAAAATAGTTCAATCGATGAAATCTTACCGTATAATGTTTTTGTTCAAGAACTTCTGTCGAGTTGAAATCACTATTAACTTGTAGTTGGTATGTACACGCATTCATTTTGGTAAATTTGAAGAATGTTTTATTTCGACCTGAAATGAAAACAAAACATACTCGTATTATGAATGTTGTAGAGAGTTATTTTAATGTTTAGGATGAAACAACGCATTTCAAAAATGTATCATTTATTTGCGAAAACCAAAAGTTGTCGATACCACATTTTGCTTGTTTTCTTTGAAATTTTCTGATATAATCTGAAATACACGCGTTATCAAATATAATTATTATAGTGATGGAAAACGCCATGCAGCGGAAGGCCTCTGAGCCCACTAACGGAATCTTCGAAATACTAGGCACCTTTTCGTCATAGAAACCATTGTCACGGTAATGCAGAGCTTTGTCGTGATGAACCCCCGTTCATTAGTTACTCGAGGAATCATGAAGTACCCAAAGAATCCAACCCTAAAGAGATTGAAATCGGTTTAATGACTGTTCTACCTGTAACATCGGATCAAGATCAAAAACTTTTCAGTTATCCAATTCTTGATCTTGTTCAATGTAGGAGACCAGCTGGTGCAACCAGAAGAATCTGTATCAGAAGAGGAAACAAACTACCACTGAGCAGATCAGCAATTGCTTACGCTTAAATGATGATTCACCCAAACTAGGGGTTGGGTGAATTTAATGTATCCTCAGTTATAGCTGATGCTCTGATACCCTGATATCGGTGGGTTGCTGTGGGCATCAAGGCGAAAATCTTGCATTGTAAACATCCGACAACCTGAATATCGACCAATCAACTGGAATCTCTTTAGTATGCCATTTTGGCTGCTATAGAGAATACTCCAGAAGATGACTCACAGGTACTAGTCCAGAGCTGCAAATTCCTGACTGGATGACTATAGGTTACTTGAGAGGTTCGAGGGAGCACCTCGTGGCTGGTAGATGCACTGCATCCCAAGCCACATATTTATGTTGCTTACCTACATCCTACATGTCAAAGGTAGTCGTAGACTGATTGTCGATTAGGTTCTCATTAGATTGAGGGATATTATCATGGTCTGTCAACCTTAAACTGGATTGTTATTCACTAGGGAATTAAGGCCCTGGTGGCATAATTTAGGTTTTCAGCATTTAGCATGGTCCCAGGTCATCTGGCCTGAAAAATTACTCACCAACCGAAGTAATCGATTTCGTTGTATAAGACACATTAAACCCAAGCGGATTGCAGTGGATGGTCGATTAGATCCACTCATTTTAGATCTACCTACCTAGAAATTCAGAACTAAAAGTCTTCACGTACAGCATTCGTGATCTAACAACAGACAGAGCTGTTACTATCTATTATCTCATCAGTGATCTAGCCTGCACCACGTGGAAGCTGCAAAGAAATACAAAAAGCGATTTCTCATTCGGCAGTCGATGCAACAGAAAACCGCGGACTTTTTTTTTGTATATTTTGTGATGAAAGCTGCCTCAAATTGTTACCTGCAGTAACGTTAGTTACAAATACAAGTGGAATAAAAATATAAAAAGTTTTATTTCTCATTTTTCATGATGCTCTACTATCACGTAGTAATGGCTGAGTCTATCAATTTTTTCAGGAACATATAATTTTCAAAGCGTATTCAATTTTTCCAATGTTTTACATTAATCATTACGTGAAATGGTTTCAACAATGACATAATCATTAATTTATTCAGAAACACAAACATTACGAACTATTTTATTTTCATTATATTACCTACATGATTCCTTATGATTTATTTTATTAGTATGAATTTCCTTGTATAGAAGTGAAACTGAAAAATTGGTATTTAAAAAATTATTCACAATGACTACAACCAGGGTGGAAAAATGTTCATATTATGAAATATCTCATTAGAAATCAATTAGATGAATACTACCATTTCGTAACGAATACTGCTCAAACTACTATTGGATGCAGGTGATGCGAATATCTACTATGACCCCGCTTGAACGTTAAAAAATATTCTGAATAAATTTGCAAATTGAAGTGCATGCATAACATCTGAAGTTATAAGTTGTTTGAAGTCATGATATATTATGAATTTCGAAATGATTTTTTGTTTCATGCCAAGTTGTTTGTACCAATAAGAGAAAACGAGAAAAAACTTAGGTCTGCAGGTACTTTTTCTGAAGCACTAGCATTCGTTTGCATGAAAACAGTATATTTCCAATGCCCAGCTAACACAATTTTGCCCGGACGACAAATCTGAAATATTATGATAAAAGACATTTGCAGACTTGCAGGCATTGACTTTTTGATATCAACATCTTCCAGAGCAAACCTGTATTTCCGTGACATGAAATGACGAGTGGAGAAGATATAATTTACTTATATCGTCGACAGGAAAGTACATGACTTTTATTTGTTATTGTATATATTAATTATTGTTGTATATTGTATTTCCCAATAAGTTTTTTCTTCGCCACTATTAATAAGGTACTGTAATGTTGTTCGGAAATATATTCATTTCAAATTATTTTGTAATTGTTGTGTAAAATAGATATTTGAAAAAAAATATGGATTTGAACATTGTAGAAAGAGGAGGAGAAAGGAGAAAATTATTGGAACCCACCATGTTGTTGGCGTTATGGAACGGAAAACCATGTCTATATTGTTAATAACTGTCCATGTAATCAGAGGAAATACTCTGTCTGCTACACATTATAGAGAGGGAATTAACAGTGAAATATAATATATTGTGCTGTTACTGTTTTGGACTGTATTACAAGATTGATAATGCCAGAATTATATATATATATATAATCACATTTGGTCTTCTATCGAGGACCGCCTGCCCGGTACTGA